CAACCTTGCACGAACCAGGTTTTTCTGGCCGAAAATGGCCTTGGATGTCGAACATAAAATCAAAACCTGTCAAAGATGTGTCTGCAGAAAAACACTGCCAGAGAAGGCAGCACCCCTTGTAAATATTCAAGTCACCAGACCCTTAGAGTTACTTTGCGTTGACTTTCTGACCATTGAACCAGACCGTAGTAACACTAAAGATGTCCTGGTAATGACGGACTTCTTTACAAAATATGCAATCGCCACTCCCACCCCGAATCAAAAGGATAAAACGGTAGCCAAAGCTTTGTGGGAAAACTTTATTATCCACTACGGCTTCCCAGAAAAAATCCATAGTGATCAAGGTGCAGACTTTGAATCAAAAACTATCAAAGAGCTCTGCGACCTCGTAGGGATTCAGAAAGTCAGAACAACACCCTGTCATCCCAGGGGAAACCCTGTGGAAAGATTTAATAGGACGCTATTAAACATGCTTGGTACTCTCAGGGACAAAGATAAAAAACATTGGCGCGACTATGTCAAACCACTTGTGCATGCGTATAATTGCACCAAACACGAAAGCACAGGTAGTACGCCGTATGAGTTGATGTTTGGTAGACAGCCTAGACTACCTATTGATCTTGCCTTCAACAACAAGCATCAGAAATGGAAATGAACCGGATGTGGAAAACTTATCTGAAAAGGAAAATATACCTGAAAAGGAAGGAGAAACTGAAACAAATGGAGAAAAGACAAATGATGGAGCAATCTCAAATGAGACAAATGAAAGGAAAACTAACAAAGAAAATGCTATTAACAATGAAACAGAAGCAAATGGTTCTGACACAGAGCAAACTGTCAGAAGATCTCTCAGAAAAAGAAAAACGCCCAAACAGTTAACCTACCCTCAGTTGGGTAACCCTCTCATTAGCATAGTTCAGTCTCTCTTCCAAAGCCTAAGTGAAGCTGTCACAGATTCTACTGAACTTCACGAAATAAAAGTTGTCTAAACTATGCAATATGCAAAGGGACTTGCATAGAGTTAAGAGGGGAGGGTGTAACCCAGGTTAACAGTGAGTCTTAGAGAGAAAACATGATCATAAGAACATCAATAAATATATAGGATCAAATTCAATAAATAAGTCAATAAATATGTTAAATATGGTTAAAAACATCTGCAATAATGTATTTTATTTAAAAATACATTAAAAGCTAATAAATATACAAATTCATTGGTTAAATACGTTAGAAGTTGTTTTTAGACTTATTTTGAAAAGCACGTAGCTGCTTGAGCCATGTGACTAGCAACAGCCAATCGGATCGTTCTGGGCTTTTCCCTGTCGAGCGAGGGAGATACGCAAGACACACGCAAGCTGTGGCAGAAAGGAGAAAAACAGAGCAAAAATGAGTCTTAAACGCAAGAAAAAGGGTATTAAAGAATATTTTTTGTTTTTCCAACCTGTCCCTGTGTGGAGACGTTGTACAGGTTGATAAACGGGACTTGGTGAGTTGAAATAAATGTAATGTAATTACCATTTGGATGGGAATTAAAGGCCTTTGTAGTGATTTTATGTTTTATGGTAAAATACTGAAGCACACTGTGTTTTATAAGCTAAATTGAACGAGCTCACAAGTTCATTGCCTGGACTTGTTTTCCCGTCCGCCCCTCATGGCGACAGCGTATTGAAGTTGGCTCAACGTTTGACGTTCGCTTGATATTCGTTAGGGACCGTCAACAAATAGTCACCACAGTATTGGAGGGAGTCACTTTACATTATTGGAGCAAGGTTACACATTAAATACATGTAAAAAATTCACCAAAAATGAACCAAAACACTTTTTCCAAATCTGTGGGGCGTAGTAGTTGCCAAATGAATGTGTCTATTTACTACAGGTCATAATTGGCCCCTAGGTCACATTACTGTGAAGACAGACACAATAATTACATGAAAAACATCACCAAAAATCAACCAAAACACTTTTTCTAAATCTGTGGGCGTAGTAGATCCCAAATAAATGTGTTTATTTACTACAGGTCAGAAATGGCCCCTAGGTCACATAACTGTGAAGAAAGACACAAAAAATACTTGAAAAAATTCACCAAAACTCAACCAAAACACTTTTTCCAAATCTGTGGGGCGTAGTAGTTCCCAAATAAATGTGTTTATTTACTACAGGTCACAATTGGACCCTAGGTCACATAACTGTGAAGAGAGACACAAAAAATACTTGAAAAAATTCACCAAAAATCAACCAAAACACTTTTTCCAAATCTGTGGGGCGTAGTAGTTCCCAAATAAATGTGTTTATTTACTACAGGTCACAATTGGACCCTAGGTCACATAACTGTGAAGAGAGACACAAAAAATACTTGAAAAAATTCACCAAAAATCAACCAAAACACTTTTTCCAAATCTGTGGGGCGTAGTAGATCCCAAATAAATGTGTTTATTTACTACAGGTCACAACTGGACCCTAGGTCACATTACTGTGAAGAGAGACACAATAATTACATGAAAAATTCACCAAAAATCAACCAAAACACTTTTTCCAAATCTGTGGGGCGTAGTAGATCCCAAATAAATGTGTTTATTTACTACAGGTCACAACTGGACCCTAGGTCACATTACTGTGAAGAGAGACACAATAATTACTTGAAAAAATTCAGCAAAAATCAACCAAAACAGTTTTTCCAAATCTGTGGGGTGTAGTAGATCCCAAATAAATGTGTCTATTTACTACAGGTTAGAAATGGACCCTATGTTGCATTACTGTGAAGAGAGACACAATAATTACATGAAAAATTCACCAAAAATCAACCAAAACACTTTTTCCAAATCTGTGGGCGTAGTAGTTGCCAAATAAATGTGTTTATTTACTACAGGTCACAATTGGACCCTAGGTCACATAACTGTGAAGAGAGACACAAAAAATACTTGAAAAACTTCACCAAAATCAACCAAAACACTTTTTCCAAATCTGTGGGGCGTAGTAGATCCCAAATAAATGTGTTTATTTACTACAGGTCACAACTGGACCCTAGGTCACATTACTGTGAAGAGAGACACAATAATTACATGAAAAAATTCAGCAAAAATCAACCAAAACACTTTTTCCAAATCTGTGGGGTGTAGTAGATCCCAAATAAATGTGTCTATTTACTACAGGTCACAAATTGGACCCTATGGTTGCATTACTGTGAAGAGAGACACAATAATTACATGAAAAAATTCACCAAAAATCAACCAAAACACTTTTTCCAAATCTGTGGGGCGTAGTAGTTCCCAAATAAATGTGTTTATTTACTACAGGTCAGAAATGGACCCTAGGTCACATTACTGTGAAGAGAGACACAATAATTACATGAAAAAATTCACCAAAAATCAACCAAAACACTTTTTCCAAATCTGTGGGGCGTAGTAGATTCCCAAATAAATGTGTTTATTTACTACAGGTCACAATTGGCCCCTAGGTCACATTACTGTGAAGAGAGACACAAAAAATACTTGAAAAAATTCACCAAAAATCAACCAAAACACTTTTTCCAAATCTGTGGGGCGTAGTAGATCCCAAATAAATGTGTTTATTTACTACAGGTCACAATTGGACCCTAGGTCACATTACTGTGAAGAGAGACACAAAAAATACTTGAAAAAATTCACCAAAAATCAACCAAAACACTTTTTCCAAATCTGTGGGGCGTAGTAGATCCCAATAAAATGTGTTTATTTACTACAGGTCACAATTGCCCTAGGTCACATTACTGTGAAGAAAGACACAAAAAATACTTGAAAAAATTCACCAAAAATCAACCAAAACACTTTTTCCAAATCTGTGGGGCGTAGTAGTTCCAAAATAAATGTGTTTATTTACTACAGGTTACAATTCAACCCTAGGTCACATTACTGTGAAGAGAGACACAATAATTACATGAAAAAATTCACCAAAAATCAACCAAAACACTTTTTCCAAATCTGTGGGGCGTAGTAGATCCCAAATAAATGTGTTTATTTACTACAGGTCACAATTCAACCCGAGGTCACATTACTGTGAAGAGGGACACAAAATTACACAAAAAAAAATTCACCAAAAATCTACCAAAACACTTTTTCCAAATCTGTGGGGCGTAGTAGATCCCAAATAAATGTGTTTATTTACTACAGGTAACAAGTTGCCCTGAAATCATGATGACAAAAATTTCCTTCAAAAATTATCTTAAAATCAACAACATGACTATTTTCACTTCTGATGGGTGTAGTAGTTGCCCATCTATATTACAGGTCACATTTTACACCAAAGTCACATAACATCTTTCAATGTTGTCTGCTGCAACCAATGAGACCTGTACCACCAGTCACAAATATTCCCAGATTTGTCACCATTGCATGTATTGTTTCTCTGTACTTTCTTGTCAGATTCTACAATTCAACAATTGTTATGGGATTTTGGTGCTATGGCAATTATCAACCTGTAGACCGTAACAACCTTACCTTTATAGCAGTCAGAGTACGTTTTTTTGGTGTTGCATTGGTATTATACCTGATAAAGCAGTACCTGATATATAGTCTTTCACTCATGTTACATAACAAGGAAGAAATATGTGATAACAACAAATGCAAAGAAAATCAACAAAACATTAATAATTTCCATAACTTTAATACTTTTAAATTTCACCCATACAAACAGAACAGGGAACAAAAAATAACAGAAAATTGATTCATAAAAAGCCCAATAAATAAAGATAAATAGATAAATAACACAAAGAACACAACTCAGTTAAATGGAAAAAAGAACTCTACTCACTATCCAAAAGAAAAATTCCTCACGATAAATACTGAAATCCAAAATATATTATTATAGCTTTTATATACAGAATGATAAATCAATATTGTTATCATCATGGCAGGTCTAGACACAGGTAGGTGACAGATCCTAAAGAAAAGCCATGCAGTCTCTCCTGTTGTCCTCCCAGGCATCAATGCTTCCCCTCCTGCAGCAGCAAGGCCAGCAACAGCATATTTGTCCTTTTCTTTATCTGCAGAGTTCACACATCCATACAGGGATGCGAGAAATGTCCTTTGTGTCCATGGACAAACAGGCTGTGTGAAACCATCTCTCACACCTTTCACACTGGATCTGTACATGAATGACATGAGATTTTCACAGAAATGCTGTTAACATAACTTGATATGAAAGTATTCTGTGTAGTACTTACCCAAAGAATTTCTTCTGACTGAGGCTGCAGTAATGTCCTCTGTCCACAAAAGGAACAGAAGTCCTCCTTGGAAACTAAAAAAAACCAAAATGAAAGCAACATAATATGTACCTCTTCTTCCATGGTAGTGTTTTTCATAAGTTAAATCTTCACATTACCTGATTGCTCAAGCATCTCCTCTGCCATCTGCTCCCTGAGTTGTGCAATGGCTCTTCGAGAAGGATTGATCTTGAACTCCTCTGGGATTTGTGGGTGGCACGTGAGAGTTTGACGAGCCATCTTTAAAAAATAAAATAAAATAAATCTATTGAAATCTGTAGCCTGTGGAAAGGTTAGTTACTGTGTCAGAAAAGCAGTTAACAGCTAACAACATAAAGTTAATGGGCTTTTGCACTTAATGTATTTAAGAAGTGGCCAGCCAAATAGTATAGAAAACAGTATTAGAAAATGCCTCACCTCCATCACAAATACCCCGCAACTCGTGCCATCCTGCTGAGCAGGGTGAGGGATGGTGGCAGCTTTCCACACTTGGCTTAGCCAGTCTTTCCGCCCACGCAAGTTAAACCTTGTTTTAAAGTATTTGCTGAAAACACAGAGACATAAGGACACAAAGTATTAAAAGTTATTGACATGATGTCTGATATACCACTTAATAAGATGACTTAACATCAGTTTTTATCCCTGTTCATCATCTAAAATGTATATATTGTACATGATAAACATGTCAGACCATGTCTTATATATGCCCTAGCTTATTGCTGCCATAGACCTTTTCATGTGTCATGCCGTACAATGTCCTCTTTTCCCTGTCTTTCGTCTCTTCTCAACTACCCCAGCTACTACTATCAAGTTGATATATGTTCTTTGGAGACTACATGCTACTACATACTAGTACTGATTGACCCCCTCACATACCCACCTACAGGCACTCTATTCTATTTCTACTTTCCCCCATGCTCCTTGGAGCTCTATACGTATGTTTTCTGTATGTTTCCTGTTATTTGTGTGCTCTATGTGTATGCTTCTTGTCTTGTAAAGTGCCTTGGGACAAATGCCTTGTTATCAACACTAACGATCAACACAAATTATGCTGATTTGAATTGAATTGAAATGAACTGAACACAATTGTTACCGGAAGCGTTTGGCAGCTTCTCTTGAGTCATCGAGGTCAGCCTCAGGATTAGCAGGATCCACAACAAATATTTGTGATGTTAGGGCATTCAGGTACTAGACATGTAAACAGAATGTTTTATTTAGAATAGTATGCCAAGCCATGAAGACTGTCCACAAACATGAAGGACATTTTTTTGGTTTACTTACAACAAACTTCCAGTGGTTCTGGTTAACATTGACAAAACCAATGAGCCCCTCATAATCATCAAAGTTCACCTATAGGCAATGATTTAATTAAACACAGTTACAAATCTTATTTGGTCCATGTACCTGTTTTTTAGCAGGTCATAGATGGAATCAGACCTTCATTACTTACATTTTTCAGACTTTGTCTTGCAACTTGGTTGGTGTCACCAAAGAGTATTACCCCTATTATGAAATGGTGCATTTGGTAGAGCCGGCACAGTCCCCCCAATTTTTTTGCTGTGCTTTGGATGTAGAATTCAATTGTCTACGACTCACTTTATTGTAGTCTATATATTTTGTATTATTATTAACACTATATTACAGTTAACAAAAATACATGTTCACTTACATCGCCAGTCAGAAGATTGTGTGGCCTCAGTGTCATGAAATCCCTGAAAGAATCATTGAATCATTGCTGTACTGTGTCACTGCAATGACAACTTCACATTCACGTTTTTTCCAAAGAATCTGTGTTGAGGTCAGAGGTAATTTTTAGGTACACACAAGGACATAAATATACAAGAAAACAAATTTGTCCATTTGTTACTTAACTGGAGATGGGGGCTAGTCTGTAAGTGTGTTTGAGCGTGTGTGCTTAAGGTTACATTTATAAGGTACATGTGAACACAATAGCAATGAGAAGGAAATGAGAATATGGTGAGGAAGATAAATCCCTATAAGAGTTAAAACATACCTTAGATTCTTGCCCATGTGTGGCTCCTGTGTCCTCTTGCACATCAGCTGCACTGACAGACACCTGAAGGACATCACCTTTCGCTTGTTTTTGGGCAGCTCTGCTACGGCGTTGCCGAATTTCTCTGGGTTTTTTTGTTTTGGTAAAATCATTTTTTGGGGTATACTGTAATATTTTGATTTTGACTTTGTGACCTTTGAATCATCTTCTTTTTTTGCCCAGGTCTCCTCAGAATGAGTAATGTCTTTGGACAATCTTGGCCTGACAGTTGGGTGGTCAGGGAGATCATGGTGGAGTTGGTGCTCTACATATCTTCCTTTAAGAGACACATACACTCTTCTGATAAATGCTGCTGGACGCATTCTTTTTTTCTTCAGTAAGATGTGGTGTTTAACGATACCAAACCATGCCTCGACATGGCAATTTGTATCTCTGCCAGGCCCTCTGTCAATATTTTCTTTACTACTGTCCACATCTAAGGCATGGCGCCGTAGGTCTCCTAACATGAGACCACTCCACAGTGGAAATATGGGCATGTATGTCTCCAGCAAAGCCTTGATAATGCCTGGATTGTGGAAAATATTTTCTTCTGCGCAGTCCTCTGTTGAATCCATGGATGTATCAACATTTTCACATACCTCCCTAAAAACAGCTGACCATGGAGAGCCACCAACTAAAGACTTTGTGTCTTCAAGATCTTCAGACATCTTGATCTCTGGCATTTCCACATGAAGTATGTCCTCCTTTGAGCACTGAATTAGTTTCTGAAGTGCTTGAACGTTTTCCTTCACAACTGCTGTATTTTTCGGAGTGAGTAGAACACTGCATAGGGACCTGAAGATGTCTACACCTTCGATCAAAGATTTACTGTTTTGCAGTCTGGCAAAGATGAACACCAGGAATTCTTTGTGGCCCTTGTCCACCACATGCTTGCCAATTAATTGTGAAACAGCTTTAATGATATGCGCTGAGCAGAGGTGGACAATTGTGGTTTTTGCTATACTTTTCTGCCTCTTGCCCTGGCATATTGCAAAGCATTTCTTCAGGTATGTCTGCACATTTTCTTTGTTGAAGGCCAAGAGGACAGCCTGAATTAGTGCCCAACTGTAGTCCGTCTCCACTTTCCTCACTCTTCGGATTGTGAATCTGGAAAGGGTGTGCAAAAACCATTGTAGCCAATATGAGATGGAGGGGACGCTGTGTGTGTTTGTGAGGAATTCAGCTACAGGTAATGGGGGAACACCAGGGCCGTGACCAGGTAACACCAGAGCATAATATAACACCTGCCTTTTTTGGTCTGGGATTTTGGAAACTATGCTCCCTGTGGCATCTAAGTAGAGGCTCAGGGGCACACTCTTCCTTAGGTGTGCTACTAATATGCGTAAGCTGGTGTCTGTGTACATGTGTACACCAAATGGGTCGACCTGAAAAATCTGAATATAACCAGGGACATGTAAATAATTGGTGTCACATTCTCTAATAATATTCTGAGTCAAAAGAATTTCCAAGGCCACATTATCATGAAGATTCAGGCTTCTTCTGACCTCACTGGAAATTGCATTCAAGATGCCTCTGTTTAAGCATTTTGTGAAATTACCAGCCTTCAGCTGTGTCTGAGGGGTTTGACTTAAGAGTTGGTAGAAAGTTTTGCTAACACCCTTTTCTTCTGAAATTAATTTTGCTAGTCTGTCTCTTCTTAAATTTGATGCCTGTCTTTTTCTTCTGTGTTCTTTAAGGTGGCAAATGTTGCCCCGGCGTAAAACTGTAAAAAAGACCTTTGTTTGGCTTGCGGTTGGCTTTTGGTTTAATCGGAATGTATAGGTTGCTTTGCAACTTGGAAATGAACAAATTGCTTTGATGGAAAGATACCTCTTTCGACTTGAGGCAATGTAATGTGCTGGTACTTGAAGGCAAGAACACAGCAAGGATTGTGAATACTGAACTTACTATATAGGACATGTGTCCATGACTGTTTTAGTCTTCGAGACCCACTCTTAGGTTTAATTGTCTGCCATTCCTTTGAATTCAAATGAAATCGAACCCTCCTTGGTACAAAACCGATGTCTCTTTGGTGTTTGGTGTGGTCAGGCTGATCAGTTTTGTCCAGTGCTGACTCAACACTGCTGCTTTTTTCTTCCTCATGACATGAACTCGTTGGCATCACTTCTTCAACATCACTGCTTTTTTCTTCCTCATGACATAAACCCATTGGCATCACTTCCTCGACATCACTGCTTTTTTCTTCCTCATGACATGAACCCGTCGCCATCACTTCCTCAACTTCACTGCTTATCCCTTCCTCGTTACATGAACCTGTTGTCAATACTTCCTCAACATCACTGCTTTTTCTTTCCTTGTAACATGAAGCTGTGATCCTCACTTCCTCAACATCACTGTTGTCCCCCTCCTCATGACATGAACCTGTCGTCGTCACTTTTTCAGCACCACTGCAGTTTCCTTTGTCATGAAATGAACCTGTCGTCATCACTTCCACATCACTGGTTCTTCCCTCCATCTGCCTGTAATTTTCAATTCGGTCTCTGAGCCCTCTCCTATTGTTATTCCATATGACCCATAGCCAGTGTATTTTTGCTGAGTTTTCCGCTCCAAATAGAGTCACACACAACTCTTTCCAAATTCCAGCACTGTAGGACATCTCTTGAATATTGTGTTTTGAAAACTCCCTCACCACATATTCAGTGCCACCTGCCTCCTCCCATAGGTTTTTGCGAGATGCTACTTGCCGTTTTCTTCTTTGTGCCATTTCCTAAACAAATGCACATCATTATAGTTGATAATCAATTTGTTGTTTTTATTCATATCTAAATGTTTTCAATTTATTAACATTTATTTGTTTGTACTGTTTCCTGGTTTATTAAATATATACATTTTTTTCGCTTGCACATTTGTAAAATTGGTAAGGGTATCGGCAGACCCGCCGCCTCATATAGGCAGCTAAGGCGCTCGTCTAGAGCGCCACATGTGTCTAGGGCGCCATCTAGTGGTGGTCGTCACCATATTTTCTTAAGTCTACCTACCTAAATTGGAATTTCCACTGACCAAAATGCGCGACTGCAACACTCCACTGCAGGAGCGTAGTCCCAACCACATTTTAACAGACGTAACCCAACCCACCCAGATACAAGACGCTCCATTATACATTTCAACTCTTCATGCGTGAACAGATTGAATCATGAAGTCTCTAAGCTTTTC